TTTCAAAAGAGGATGCCACAGAGATGTAGGGAAGGGAGGGACCAACTGACTGCTTAGGCAGAGCTTCACTGAACTCTAGCAGGGCACCATGTAGGCAGGGCACTATGGTCCAAGAGCCAGTCCTAAGCTTTGAAATGCATAAACTATAGCTTAATTCAGTCTCATAAGTGAACCTAGAGTTAACCATACTCACAAGAAAATGGTTTATACACAAGAATATCAACTTATGATGACTTTGGAGTAATATGTATCTATATATGACAACGATGTGGGGTCTGTGTCCCTTTAATCAGACTTGCTTTGCCCATCCATAAACAGCTGTTAGGTATAAGAAATAAGCCCAGCTGGTGGCCTTGTCCTACAGTTCCTTGAATTTGTATAGATTATTTCTTATTCCTTTATCTTCCCTGCTTTTCTCATTCTCATTTTGCTCTATACCTAATACTCACTTCAGACCCCCTTAGCTCTGATGACTCATTTGGACCTGCTTCTGTGGTTTGAACTCAGCATTATCCCATGGAAAAAAATTCTGATGTTAACTTCTGTCTTTAAGCACTGAGACCCCAGGTAAGAGCTACAGTGAATCCTTCCAGCTTTCCCACTAGAGATGAAGAATCAATATTGGGACCTCTGTTCCTCCTTATCTGCCTCTCTCCCTGCCTGCTTCCCTTTGTTTCCTTCCTTCCTTCTTCCCTTCCTCCTTTTCTTCCTCCTTCTCTACTTCCCTCCTTCTTTTTATTCCTTCCAAGAAAATAGGTCGAGCGCATACTATGTCCGGCACTATAGTTGGCACTGGGAATAAAGCAGCAAACAAAACAAGTACATTGCCTACTTGCATGAAGTTTTAGTCTTGTGGGAGTAAGAAGTAATCACATAATCACACACAGTGGGATTATTCGAATGGTCCTAGTACCATGGAAAACAATAATATCACATAATTAGAATGTAAAAACAGGGTACCTAACCTGGCCTGAGAGGTTGGAAACACCTTTTCTAAGGAAGTCCTGAAAGATGAGTGTGACTTAGCCAGGAAGAGGGGGTAGAAAAGCTTTTTGGGAAAGAGGACAGTAGAATCTGAGTTGAGAAGGAATTTGGCTCATTAGAGGAATAGAGAAGACTTGGGTGAGGGAAGAGTAGCTGGAGAGTGAACTATAAGGATAGTATAAGAGCCAAATCATGCTATGCCTTCTAGGTCAAATCACTGAAGAGTGACAGGTCTGGCCCCTGGGT